AAAGACGATAGCATGGCACCGAACAGAAGACAATCAAGGACTCCAGAGCCCGCCACCGATGACCCCTTAACCCAGACCCTACAACAACTAACACAGGTCGCACAAGCACTAAGCGATGTAGCCCTTCGCAACAACAGACCCCCACCACCTCCATCGAACGCGAACTCGGACATCGCCCGACAAGTTTCAAATCACCGACCACCCACGTTCTCAGGGGAAGAGGACCCCACGGTCCTAGAAGAATGGATTCGGACTCTTGACAAAATTCTAGGGGTAGTAGAATGCCCGGAGGAACGTCGCGTAGAGATAGCCTCGTTCTACTTCGGACACGAGGCCGATCTCTGGTGGATCCATGAGGGGCCCACTTACCGACAAGAACCGGGGTTCAACTGGGAGAGCCTCAAGGCACGACTACGGGAACGATTTTATCCAACCCACGTAAAAGCATCCATGTACGAAGAGTTTCTCCATCTGAAACAAGGAACGGCCACCGTCATGGAATACCACAAACGATTCCTCGAACTGGCACGCTTCCCGCCAGAGCTAGTCCCCACCGAGGTGACCAAGATAGAAAGATTCGTATCGGGCCTCAACTTCGAAACCCGGAAGGCACTAGTGGTGAGCAGGCCTCGGACCCTCAACGAGGCTTACTCCAGTGCCGCAAATCTCTATCGAATCCAACTACTCCAACGTGGGGTTCAGGAACAAATACGAAAGAGAAACACCGGAAGCGGGGCGCCACCCGTAAAAAGGACGAGAAATGACACCGGCGCAAGACCGGGCAACCTGGCCAATCAGAGGCCGCCCCTGGGAAACAATGAAACTAATACAAGGAGCTTCCCTTGCCCGAAATGCAACAAAAGCCATAGGGGCAAGGATTGCATGGGAAAGCCCCGGCGATGCTTCAACTGCGGAGAGGAAGGACACAAGGCCTTCCAGTGCACTCAGACCCAAAGACCACGCCCCACCACCGGGGGTCAACACGGGGGCACCGGCCACCAAGGAAACTACGGCGTGCCCGGGAAGATATTTGTTATGAGCCACGCTCAAGCCAACCTCGGGAACGAGGATGACCTCGGAGAGGGAAACCCAATCCCGGAAGACGAGGACCATGCGAACCCCGCCGAAGAAAATCAAGAGGGTGAATTTTGTTTAGGATAAGCCGTCGAAACCCCCTTGTAAACACCCCCTTAGTAGAACCGCTTACTTAGCTTAATTATTTCGGAATTATTATAAATAAAGACTTTGATCAAATTTTGACTTCACTACGGGGCCCGCGCTAGAACTGGAGCGTAAATGTAGAGTAGCTTCCCTTTCGGCCTGCGCGCCATGTTATGAATTTACATTTCTGAGGATATTAGCTAGTTAGCCTGTGCATCTGGGTTCTCTAGCCCAGGTGTGGCATAGCACCCCGTACGCATGTATTATACTTTGGGATTTAATGAGATTCTATCTTTACTATATAAGTTTTAAATGTCTTGAAAATCTGGGGTGTTATAGGTGGCGCCGACATGATGCCTTTTGGAGGAAGGACGAGGAGCCTTCTTCGTGCCCTCTTTCTCCAGTCTCGACCGCTTAGAAGGAAGGGGGCGATGCGGCGACCCGAAGTTAATCTTCTTCCCTTTCATAGGGGAGCGACCCATGGTTGATCAAAAGGAGTGGGAAAAGACACAAGGAGCAGGGCGCTATTTATAGGGTCTCGAGTGAGAAGGAAGGAATCTGAACGGCCCCGGAGAATCAGGAAAATTACGAGAGATCTGGGCGTTACTCGTCCATTAAGGGCAATAAATAGAGAGAGATTTGCGGATATTGGAAAGTGAGGGACTAGTTGATGGGGTATGGACCTCGGCCCAAGAAGGATAGAGAAAGTCCGAAAAGAATGGAGAAGCCCAAAGAAAAATAGGGAAGCCCAAGAAGAAAGAAATACGGCCCAAGGAGTGAGAGTCGGACCGATCCCGAGGTCGGGACGAGGACTCGGCCAGAAGGGTAGAGAGCCGTTGGAAGACATTAAAGAGGACATTGAAGAGCCTAGCCAATGAGCCGTTGGGAGGCCCAGTAACGGCAGCCCAACGGCCCTGCGATATAATTAGCATTCACGACCCCTTAATGTACTTTAAAAAACCGAATTAAGGAGGGTCTACTATATAAAGGCCTCTCCAAATATGTAAAACAGGCGAGTCCATGCCTAGAGAATAGAGAAACACTTTTTGCTACTTTTACTCATTCCTTTCTATTTTTCAAGCCTTATTGAAAGGTGAATCCACGAACTAAGGTTGTGTTGGACCTCCCTGGGCCCAAAAACCCTAAAACCAACACTTTTTGTTACGTAACGTTCTTAAATTTTGTTTTTTTGAATAAATATATTATTTTCAGTTACGTTCTTAAGTTTCATTTTTCTAATAAGAATACTTTTTTAAGTTACATTCTAAAATTTTATTTTTCAAATATATATATTTCTTAAATTATATATTGTACCTTCCAAAAAAAAAACATAAAAGACATTTTAGGAACGTTTAAAGTATGAACCAATAAGTATGTTTTCCTCTCGCCCTTTTCGCGAGCTGTGTCCGTTTAGGGTTTGTCTTTTCCTTGGCCGTTGACTGCCGCCGCTTTCTACTCGAGGTTTGCACGTCCGACATGGCAAACCCAAATATCTCTGCACTCTGCGCAAACTTGACGTTGGTCGACGTTGATGATGAGGACATCTCTGTACAATTGACGAATGCACCGATTGATCATGCTGAACCGGATGGCGTTTTTTACGCTGTTGGAAGACTAGTTACGGATCGATCAGTGAGGCTACCATTCTTTGAGGATACTATGGCGGGTGTTTGGAAGCTAGCCATGGGTGTCAATATTAGTGAGCTACAACCCCGCAAATATCTCCTTCGTTTCTACCATGAAGCAGACATTAATCGGGTGGTGAACGAAGGCCCCTGGACGTATGAACAGAATTTGTTGATCATGAAACGAATCTAGCAAGGAGAGGATCCGGAATCTGTGCCTCTTATGCATGCAGATTTTTGGATCCAGATCCATTCCTTACCCATTGGATTCCGGTCTGAAGTTATTGTACCTGCGATCGGATCCTTTCTGGGATCCTTAATCCACACAGATGAACGGAACTTTGATGGCACAATGAGAACTTTTTACCGTGTCTGTGTGGAAATTGATGTTACCAAACCGCTGAAAAAGCATATGAAGTTGAAGAAGGATAATGGCAGTTGGGCTTTCGTGGATTTCAAGTATGAACGACTCCCGACCTTTTGCTTCTTGTGTGGTATTATCGGCTATGGGGACAGGATATGCCATAAGCGCATACAAGGGATTGATTTACATACTGAAAAACCTTTTGGCACGTATATGCGGGCTGGTGCTGGTAGAAGAACTCCTTCTACTGGCCAACGATGGATCCCACCTCAGGCAACGGTGAAACGGAGAAGCTGGAAGTCGCCCTTCATGGAGACTACTGCTTCGCAGCAGACGATAGATGGCGTTACTAAGGGGATAGAAGTAGCGTCTCCATTGGGTCTGGAGGTCCCAGCTGATGCAATGTTATCTGTTGCCGACCCAAAACGCAGACGTGTCGATGGCGATGCTTCTTCCACTGATTCAGAATCGAGAATGGAGTGTGATGTCTAGAATAGGTCAAAAAACTTGTTGAGGGCGTGTACTGGTGTTTCCCAGTCCCGCCGAGCATTATGAGTATTATTTGCTAGAACTGTCGCGGTATGGCCAATCTGCGAACGGTTCAAGAGATCTTGGCTATGGAGTTCAGGATGAGGCCAACTTTTATTTTTTTGATGGAAGCTAAGGTACGAAGGGATCGTGCAGAGAGGCTGCGTATTAAGTTGAATTATGATGGACTTTTCTTTGTTGATGGTGGTGGGACGAAGGGTGGTTTAGCTCTCTTCTGGAAGGATCGTAATATAGCTAGTTTGATCTCATTCTCGCAACAGCATATTGATATTGAGGTCAGACTATCGGGGCTACCTCGATGGCGTCTAACTTGTTTCTATGGATTCTCGGACAAGGAGAATAGACAGCAGTCCTGGGATTTGGTATGTGAATTACACTCCAAATTGGATAGTAGCTGGAGACTTCAATGACTTAGCTGCTCAATCTGAGAAACGAGGAGTTCATATCCATCCAGTTGGCCTGATAGAGGGTTTCAATAAGGCCTTAGAGAACTGCGGGCTGATGGATTTGGGGATGAAAGGGAAGCCCTTTACGTGGGAATGAAGTCGTGGTCGGGAGAACTGGGTAGAAGAAAGATTAGATCGCGCGGTCGCAGGAGTGGAGTGGAGTATGTTGTATCCGCATGCTACAGTCCTAAACGTGGAAACGCTGAATTCTGATCATTCTGCGATATTCATTGACGTTGAGAAACCGCAGGATAAGGCGAGGAAGAGAAGATTCATGTTTGAGAATGCTTGGTTAAAGGAGAATGGTCTGAAGGAAATTGTTTGCCATGCTTGGAATCAATCTGCGGGAGAAGAGCTACCCAGGAAGCTAGAAATCTGTAGCAGTCACCTTCGTGCATGGGGCGGTGATTTGGGAAAACAGTTACAGAAGAAAATTGAGGCCCTACAAAAACGACTTAATGTGTTAAGGAATCGGCGTGATACAGAAACCTTAATGCAAGTGCGAAATATTGATGCTGAATTAAGAGACTTAATGGAACAACATGTTTTTTGGCGTCAAAGGGCAAAACAACATTGGCTACCTTCGGGAGACAGGAATACTAAATTTTTTCATGCATATGCTTCACATCGTCGCAAGAAGAATTTTCTGGGAAGGTTACGTGATGAGTCAGGGGCTTGAAAAGAAGCAGCTCACTTACCTAAGTTGGCGCAAGAGTAGTACACGAACATTTTCACTATATATGATGCTCAAATAGGGGACAGTCTTGTGTTTTTCCAAGAAAAGGTCAGTGATGCTATGAATACCTATTTGTTACAAAGTTCACAGTAGAGGAGGTCAGGGAGGCTATCTTCAGTATGGCGCCAGATAAGTCTTCGGGTCCGGACGGATTTAATCCCGCTTTCTACCAACATTTCTGGAGTGAGATTGGTGCTGAGGTCTCTCATTATGTGCTTACATGCATCAGACAGTGCAATATTCTGGTTGGTATTAATGATGCGCATATTACTTTGATACCCAAGAAGTCACCACCAGAGTGTATGGGTGACCTACGTCCCATTGCACTATGTAATGTAATATACAAGGTTATTGCGAAAATGCTGGCAACCCGGTTGCAAAGTATTATTGGAGATATAATCTCAGACACGCAGAGTGTTTTCATCCCCGGGAGGTTGATCACGGATAATGTCCTTATTGCGTCAGAGGTGTTGCACTTCCTTAAACACAAACAGTTTGGAAATTATGGGTGGTCTGCTCTTAAACTAGATATGGCTAAGGCGTACGACCGGATGGAGTGGTCTTATTTACAAGAGATTATGAGCCGTATGGGGTTTGCTGAAGAATGGATTAATCTTGTTATGATGTGTGTGACTACTGCACATTATCGGGTTATAGTCAATGGTGAGCTATCTGATTTAATTATTCCTACGCGAGGGCTTCGGCAGGGTGATCCTTTATCACCTTATTTGTTTATCATATGTGCTGAAGGTTTTTCTTACCTACTAGCTCGGTGTGTTTAGACAAAATCTCTTTCTGCGTGTTCAGTTGCACGAGGTGCGCCCGGGATCTCCCATCTATTCTTCGCTGATGATAGCCTTGTGTTCTTTAAAGCTACAGTTGAGGAAGCCATGGTGGTTAAGAACTGTCTGCTTGAGTATGAACGTATGTCGGGTCAAGCAGTGAATTTCTCCAAATCATGCATTATCTTTAGTAGGAATGTGGGAGTGCAAACTGGCAATGCAGTAGCGGCTACCTTTGGAATGCACAGATCCGATTCTTCGGGTAAATATTTGGGGTTGCCGCTTGGTATTGGGAGAAACAAGAAAGAGGTTTTTCGCTATATTGAGACTAAGTTGCAGCAACGCTTCCGGGGATGGAATAACAAAATTCTCTCAAGAGCAGGTAAGGAGGTTCTGCTTAAAAGTATTGCTCAATCTCTCCCTACTTATACTATGAGTATGTATTATCTTCCTATTACCTTTTGTGAATCTTTGGAAAGGCTCATGAATCGGTTCTGGTGGAACGCGAAAGGTGCTGGAAGGAAAGGTATGCATTGGCTCTCATGGTCACGCATGTGTATGCCAAAATGTTATGGAGGTCTCGGATTTAAATGTCTGCATGAGTTTAATGTGGCCCTCCTTAGCAAAACAGGGATGAAGAATTTTATCGCAGCCTGATTCAATTGTGGCAAAAATTTTCAAGACCAGATACTTCCCGAGAAGCTCTTTTCTTGAGGCAAATATAGGGGCCAATCCAAGCTATTGTTCGCGGTCAATCTTGGCGGGGCAGGCGATCCTAAAACAGGGTTCCTTTCGCCGCATTGGCAATGGTCGGCAGACGCGTATATGGGGAGACCCTTGGATGCCGGATGTCGAAAACCTATATCCTCTTACTTCAAGATCAGAACATCATGGTTCGGCGATGGTTTCCGCCCTTATTGATTCGGTCAGTGCTAGTTGGGATATTCCGTTACTCAATGAATTATTTTGTGCTAGAGATGTCGATTTAATTGTGCAGCTGCCAGTTTCGCCTGAGTATGAGGGTAAATGGTGTTGGCGTGGTGATCTGCGTGGCATATTTTCGGTTAAGCAAGGCTATCGTTTACCAATGGGGAACACAGATAATGGTAACTCGTCATTTACAGCTTGGGGGTCCATATGGTCACTTCGGATTCCACCCAAGTTCCTCAATTTTTTATGGCGGTGTGGACGGGCAATTCTTCCGGTACGAACTAATCTAACCAGTCGTGGTATCCCTATTGATCATACGTGCCCTTTATGTCAGTTATACCCTGAAACTGTGTTGCATCTTATGAGAGATTGCCCTTACACTCGTGATTTGTGGAATGATGTACCGCCCATTATAACTAGCGCCAATTCTGATTCACTGGAAGAATGGTTGGCTGGTTGGCTAGGAGCTAAGGACACTGAAGTTAAGCATGTTTTTGTAGCTCGTTGCTGGACGGTGTGGAAGGCTATGAATGATTTTGTTTGGAGTCACATTCCATGGTCTCTGGAAGGGGTGATGGCGCAGGTTAATAATCTTTTGGAAAGTTGGCAGACTACCAACTCCAGCACCACTCATGTGCATGTGAATGGACCGACAATTGTGGATAATGGTGTCACGCCTCAAGCCTTATACTTCATTAATGTAGATGCTACTATCTTCGCTGAAAGGAATGAGGGTGGGGTGGCAGCGGTGGTTCACGATAGGCAGGGGACATTTATAGCGGGTCGGAATAAAACGGTACGATGTCTTCAAGATCCACACCTTGCGGAGGCGATGGGTATAAAAGAGGCGTTATCCTGTGCAATGGAGTGCGGGTGGCGAAATCTGGTGATCTTGTCAGATTGTCAGTTGGTTTGTTCTTCCTTGAGGTCCTCGGCTCTTTATAACTCTTATGCGGGTTGTGTCCTCAATGATTGCTTTAGTCTAAAACGGCAGTTTGATTATGTGTCGTTTCGTTTTATCTATAGATCAGCGAATAAGATTGCTCATGTGTTGGCACGTGATGCTTCTTCACTGTCTGGTCCTCGTAGTTGGTTTTCAGATTATCCTTTATGTATTCAGTAGTTGATTTCTCATAATTAATATATTCGATGTTTTCCTTCCAAAAAAAATAAAATATATTGTACCTTCCACAAGATTTTTCTCATTCTTTCAGTTACGTTCTTAATTTTTTTTTTAAAATAAAGATACATTTGCCAGTCCCGTTTTTAATTTTTTTTTTCAAATACAGATATTTCTCAAATTACATATTGTCCCTCCCACGAGATTTTTCTCATTCTTTTAGTTACATTCAGAAATTTCATTTTTCAAATAACGATATTTTTTTTTTCAAATAAAGATACTTTATTCAATTATGTTCTTATAATTCTTATAGTTGAAGTAGCTTGGTGGACAAAAGTTTACTTTTTGCACAAGAGGTTAAGGGTTCAAAACTCAACTTGAATATCCACATTTCTTTTTGTTTCATAACAAGTACTACGTAGTACTTAAGAATTATCTGTAGCCGTGTTGGTAATGCTAATAATATTTAATGCGATTTTGTGGTTTTAATTAATTTTGACATCTTCATGGTTTGGATTTATTCATTAATTATTTATGGGTATGGATGGTTGGAGTAGCTTGTGTGGCTCTCATTCAATCATGCTATATAATGACATTACTCCTCCTATTTTAGTGATAAAATTCTAATACGTCTATGGAAGACAAAGACGGTGATGGTGAATCGAAATCCCAAGGGTCGTTATATCATAGACTGCGGTGTACATATGCACCACGGTAAAAAATGGCGCCGTTTCTTTAAGTTAAGAAACGGCCCGCCGTTATAGTTAACGGAGTCCGCTTATTTGGTGTATTAAACACCAACTGACACTACAATATATCTAAACCGAGACTGCATTACTATCAAAATGATACTGTAGTTATAGTGAAATGAAACTGTAGTGTATATAAAATGAAACTGAATAACATTTCACATATTTAAGTGTATATTGTACAATGGAGCTGTAATTATATCAAAATGATCATGTAGTTGTGTTTTAATGAAACTATAGTGTATATAAAATAAAATTAAATAACATTTTCACATATTTGAGTCTATAAATATCGAATGAAACTATAGTTATATCGAAATGAAACTGTAGTTGTGTTGAACTGAAACTGCAGTATATACAAAATGACACTGAATAACAGGGTTACTTTTTGCGAAAGGGTGCGAAACGGCGGAAATCAAACACCGTTTCTTTTCATTTAACAAAAGGACGCGCGGTGCATGATATAATTTGCCAAATCCCAACAGCCAGGCCAGGAATTTTGCAAGGGCAGGCTGGGCCCTTGCTCAGGGCCCACTCTTGGAAGGGGCCCACCATCCTATCTCATTACCTCTTATATATATTATATAGAATTTTCAACATATAGTTATGTGATATACATTTATGATCATAAATTCTAAGTTGGCTAATATGGTAAGATTTCTGGTTCGAATGCTCCTGGGGCAAGGGATCAAATCCCCTTACATGAACCCCGGGGAAGCACTAGTTGTTGTCACTGTGCGACCAAGACGCCCGCATGCCTTCCTTCTGAATGAGCTCTTCCATTCCGAACCCCAAGGAAGCACTAGTTATTGTCATTGTGCGACCAAGACGCCCGCATGCTTTCCTTCTCAATGAGCTCTTCCAAGAGGTTACAACATCCACACTTTCCTTTTGTTCGCGAGTGATATTGCGAAGCGTCACTTTCCAATCTCTTTGAAGCCACCATTTAATCCCATCAATGTGATCGCATGTAGGGCCTCTCAACTCAGTATTGCCAGTTAGCCAGTTGAGGACTCTCCCCGCATCGGATTGAATCCCGACATCTCTTATCCCCATCTTCCACGTCCAAGCAAGGCCTTTCGCAATGACCTCAGCTTCAACAATGGTTGCATCCTTGTGTATCGATTTGCCGTAGAAATCGCCCATCCACTTGGAATAATACATCCTTGTGTATCTCATCACTGTTGAGAATTTGCAGCCATGTTTGCAATTAGATTTCTTGCAGCCTCTGATGTCTTGTCAACTAAAGCACCTCCACTCGCAACATCAATCTTGCTGCGTTTTAACGAATACACGGGGCTAACCTTTTACTGGTAGTACGTTTTTAAACGTATCACATTCCAGATCCGATCAATAGGCTCCCCTTCTAAGGTTTCCAACTTGTTAGTGCCTGCTTGAATTACGGCAGCTCTCCGTAGGGTCCCTCCTACTTGACTGCGAACTTTCCCCCTTCAGTGGGTCGGCTAGCCTGTCGATCACGCAAAAAAAGGTCCCCGACTTGGTTTAAAGCTCGGGGTCGGATTCGCTTGTCATGATACCTCTTGACAGCCTGCTGGTATTCCACCATGTGAGCGTGAGATGCTTCCCTTCGCTCTTCCAGGAAATTCTTCTCGATCCTAAGGCTTTCCTCGTTTCCTTCATCGGTGTAATGGCGAACCCTATGAGTGGGCTCGAAGACCTCTATGGGCACCTTCGCTTCAGAGCCGTATGCTAACGAGAACGGGCTTTCGCCAGTAGCTCGCCTCTGGGTGGTGCAATACGCCCACAAGACGTGGTCCAACTCATCATCCCAGTTACCTCCCACGTCTTCTAACTTTTTACGAATACCGTCCACAATGGTGCGGTTCACGTTCTCGACCTGTCCGTTGGCTTGAGGATAAGCAACCGACACCTTGGTATGTCAAATGCTGTGTCGTTGACAGAAATCCGCGAAGGGTTGACAATCAAACTGTCGACCATTGTCACTGACTAAGTGCTCGGGCAATCCAAAACGACATATCACTTTCTTCCATAAGAAGCGCCGACACTAATACTTAGTGATGCTTACGAGAGGCTCAGCCTCCACCCACTTGGTGAAGTAATCGATGGCCAACACGCAGAACTTAAAACGCCCCGGGGCGACCGGCAGAGGGCCTAGCAGGTCGACTCCCCATTTAGCGAACGGAATGGCAATTGCGACTGGAGTGTAGAAGGTGGCTGGTCGAGTGTCCTTCCGTGCGAACGACTAACACACAGTGCACTTTGCTATCCAGTCGACGCAGTCTCTCATCATGGTAGCCCAATAATAACCATGGACAATTAACATACGTGCAAGGGTCTGAGCACCCTGATGCGCCACGCATATCCCACGATGGGCCTCGTCTATTATTCTCTCCGCCTCCGGTCGGAGCAGGCACTTGAGGAGGGGGCCTCCAAATGACCTTTTGTACAGCTGCCCATCTACGATCTCAAAGGAAGGGGCTTGTCTCTGGACTCGGGCTGCGACCGTGGGGTCGTCAGAAAACTTTCCCTCTTCTTTGTAACGCCGGATGTTTTCGATCCAGAACATTTCTAGATTCTTAGCGCGATTCCAGTCCGGGATTGTTACCTGCTGAACTTCTTTGCCGGGCTCTTCGATGCTGGGTCAGTTCCTCCCTTTGACAGATTCTTAGGAGATGATCCGACACTCCTACCTAGGCGATCTTCGACAAAATGTCGGCTTTCGTGTTCTCGGCCCGCGAGATATGTTCTATCTCGTATGCGGAAAACCGTTTCAGTAACTCCGCAGTCTTCTCTTTGTATTGCACCAGCCGAGTGCTCTTACCTTCACAGGTTTCGGATACCTGTCCAACCACAAGACGCGAGTCCGTCTTAATACGCAGACGATCGACTCCTAAGGACTTGGCGAGCTTGATGCCTCCCAGCATAGCTTCATACTCTGCCTTGTTGTTGGATGCCTGAAATTGATAGCTCAGAGCGTAGAATAGTCGGAATCCTTCCAGAGTGATTAACATAACTCCACCGCCACAATGCTGGCTACTCGCAGCTCCGTCGGCATGTTGCTCCCACCATTCTCCCGTATCTTCTCCCGAAGTTGGGATTCCATCGACTTCTCCCACTTTGCACTCGACCATGAAGTCAGCCAACGCTTGCCCCTTGATTGAAGGGCGGGGTTGGTACTCAATTCCATATTGGGTCAATTCCACGGCCCACTTGACGAGTCGTCCTGAGGACGTGGGGTTACGTAGCACGCCTCCTAAGGGTTGATCAGTTAAGACCCGGACAGTGTGTGCCTGAAAGTAAGGTGTCAACTTCCGCACTCTGACCACTAGTGCATACACCACCTTTTCCAGGGGTGTATAGCGAGTCTCGGCCGATTTCAAAGATCGGCTGACGTAATAAACCAGATGCTGAGCCCACTCTTCTTCCCGAATGAGCACTGAACTGATAGCCTTGGATGATACCGCTAAGTACAGATACAGGGGTTCACCGACCTGCGGAGTAGATAATATAGGAGGCGTCGAGAGGTACCTCTTCAACTCTTCGAAAGACTCTTGACACTAGGAACCGACTTAAAGCGGCCAGTCGGCCGGTCAATCTTTGAAGATCTTTTATAGTGCTGGGAAGTTGCATGTCCATGATGGCTTGGACTTTCTCGGGGTTCGACTCAATGCCCCGTTTGGTCACCATGTAGCCCCGAAATTTCCCTCCTTGCACGGCAAAGACGCATTTTTCAGGGTTGAGCCGTAGGTTGTATTTAAGAATTATCTGGAAGCACTCGGATGTGGCCGGTAGCCAGCAACGTGCTCACCTCCTTCTTCACAAATTCTCTTCGGTCGTTGGCTAAATATCGCTTTTCTAAATCACGGGTCGATGGCTGGGGTCTTCCGCGAGTCAGTGAGAAATGATAAAACGGTCCACACCCAGCATGTCCTCTGGCCCCCAGGCGGTTCTCACGGAGCACACGTATAACTTTTGCTCGTATATCCTCCCTGAGGCCGACTCCAGATCTTACCCGCCTCTCTAGTCAGGCAAGGTCGATCTCCACTTCTTCTAACTCCACGGCCAGTTCAGGGCGAGGCGGCATTGCTTTCTTTGCGGGCCACGCAGTGATCTCATGCACTTGCATTTCTCGTTTTCCCATTCCCCAGCATGCCTGTAAGTAGCACTCACGGGCGACTCTTTGGTCGTAAAGTACCGTGCCCACTCCTGTCGGCGTGCGGAATTTTAGACACAGATGCTCGACTGAGATCAGCGCTCCCAGGTCTTCCAGCT